TAGGTCAGACCGATAACCCGTTTATTCAGCTTCAATATTGTTTTTAAAATCATTTGGCGTGGAGATATCCGATTTTGAATGAAACTGATATCACGCTAACCAGTGATCGCACAGAGAATGTAAGGGTATTTCCCAAAACTGGAATTAATCTCCAAACAATTTGATTGCATTTTTTACGATCCATATGACGACACAACAGAAAAAATTCAAGCCACTGGACTAAAGAGAAGGCAAAAATTTAACAAAACATTTTTATGGAGCTATTTTTGGGCTAAAAAACCTGAAAGCTAGAAACTTAAAATGCTTTTTTAAAGCCTGGATACGACCATTTTCACCGTAATACAAAAACCACAGAAAAATATGGATTTTTTCTTGGTCTCTTAATTTTTTGAGTAGTCTAATAGAAGCCGAGACATATTACTAAAGAAAAGATACCTAGCTCTTGATGCAAGTGAAAATATCTCGACCTTTTAAGGTCATAAGCTATAAACCTACTTAGTCTGGTGTTCGATAGACTATGAAGACAATAACAAGAAGCAAGACCGATACACCGTGTGGAATGCGTTTGTTATAGCGTGACCAAGTGCAAGGAAATTGTTACGTAACGTCGTATTTTAGAATTATATTATGGCCATACGACGTGAAAAATACTCAAAACTGTAAGATATTAAACAGGCTAATTAGCCAAACATGGAATCTGTTATAAAAAATATAAATAGATTTTTCGACGATATTGTATTCTTGAGTGTAAATGGAAAGGACCTTCATCTAAAAATATAAAAATAAATTTTTTAAACGCTATGGCTTAAAAATTAGTCTTTCAAGTATATTCAAGGTACGGAGCAGTGGTATAAGGAACCCTTTAAGTATTACATAAGCAGATTTTTCACAATTATGACTCTCCCCCCATCCTATGCTTACGTAAACATTTTGGAACATTTCACAATTTGAAGTATTGGCTTTCATGCACATGCTCTGAATACCATTTAATGTCTCGGTTATATGAACTTCCAACAGGAGCATTTATAGCAAAGGCTACAAGCGAGAAAGCATATCCATATTTGGGGAATCCCTGAAAATCCGTTTATTTTTCAAGCATATGTTAAAATCAAAATCGATTCAATTTTGTAAGAAATCCAAAAATAAAAATAATAAATATTGCTGACGTAATCACGATCTAGATCCCCGCCCCCAAAGTCATCAAAAATAAGCAAGGTGATGACCCCCTGCCCTTCGTCAGTGTTTACATAACACTTAAATTGTCCCCAAGTGCAGTGGTGGACTTAGAGAGGGGCGAGGGGTCTGCTATTTTCTAAAGAAAATAATATAATATATTACTGTATCTTGGTGTAAAGATGGCCTAGCTAGAACGGTATTCTGCAATCCTCAACCGTTAAAACGTATCCTACCTCACACACTTCAATGGTCATAAGGCCTTTGCCCTTAGCGGCGCTGTTCAGGAGTTAATAAATCATCATGCATACGCCGACCCACTTGCTCATCCTTTTCAATTTCTAATAGCACCCCCCCCTCGTAATGAATTCTGTTACCATAGAAAGAAGCTCAAGGAGTTGAAAAAAAATGATAGGTCGAATTGTTGCCTTTGGATCAAGGAAGAAACAGTATGAGCATGCAAATATATAACAATAATTATTATAATTAATTATATTGTGATAATTTCTACTTAAATTTGATTCTTGCGGGGCCCTGTGTAGAAATGGTAATTATAGAAGAGGATTTTTCAAGAAATGTTGGAAAGCACAATAATGAAGTAAACAAAACAACGGACATAGTATATTTGAGTATTATGTACTATAAGATCATTAATTTCATGAAGACAAAATAATCACCACCACATAATATTTATCAGCAAAACGTCAAAGCATCAAATATAACAAGATTAACCTTAGATTTATCCTTTCCTTCAATCTGGGTCTATCTGTACCTCGTTTGTTATATTTATCAGTTACAGTCTTCACGATATCTACGATGTGTATAACGTTGGATTATTTAAAAGGGTGAGCTTGATAATTTCTTTTTTCTGATAATCGAGCAAGGAAAGAACTTTTTATGCGTTTCTTAAATATCTATCTTATCACTTTATCTTTGTTTCATTTCAATCTTTTTTGTCTCTTCATGTTGGGAGTTGCTATCTTTTTAATGTAATATTCGAGAATGAGCTTGAATAGCTCATTTTATGTAATGTCTTAACAAAATAAGTATCTTATATTTCGATTTTATTGTTTGAATTGTTAGTTAATGTACATCTAAACTTAGTGTTTTAATCATTTTTTTGTAAAGCCCTTTATAACCGGAAACTTTTTCTTTAGACCCCAATTTCCAATTAATTGCAAGAAATAATTAACGTCTTTATAACTAAGCTAAAAATGGGTGACGGCTATTATTTCACTCAGTCCTCTAACATAATTAAGCATAATAAGGAAGTTCCCACTAAAAAGCTTGAGAGCCATTTTCTTGTACCCGTTTTTGATCAAACGAAAAACTGCGTGAATTACTCATCGTCAGCTAGCTGTTACATTGTTGTACCTACCTAGCCGTATTTTTCAGTTTGCCGCATTAGTACCGTTTACTGAACATCTCGCCAAAAAAAAATGTTTTTGAAAAAAACCATTGACACCAGATTATTCTTAGAAACTGCTGAATTTTTTTTTTTTTCGTTTTTTTTGCTGTTAACCACTACAAAGATTCAGATTATGCACTTTTAGATTAAAAATGAATATGGGAATGACGATTTTTCACTTCTTTATAATACAAATTCTACTTCTTCAGATAGAACGTCTTTCTACCTCATATAACTGTTCTGTAGATCTCGGCATGAAGTGATGTTTAAAATTTCATCTAATAACAATGATATCCCGCAAAAATATGTATATGTGTGTCTCTAGATACACTTTCATTCATCCGCAAGGGTATAATTCCGATGTAAAATCCGTTTATAGACTTTTTTGTAGAAGATAAATAGCTTTTGGCTTTTTCCTGATGCGCAAAATACCTGAAACTGTAACTTCTGCGACACAGAACCCGGCAAAATTGTGTGTGACTTTCGAGATCAAGGAAATAAGCACTTGTGAAAGTTGTGTTATTTTTAGCGTGATGGTACCACGTTGTTAATACTCTCACCCGTTGCCCGAAACGCATCCTCTGAATGTTTTATTGATAGAATTATCATAAAAAAGTATTTAGGTATAATGCGGTCGTTTCCACGAATTTGGGATTTGATGCTAGATTACCGAAAGTGAGAGCTACACATGTTTTTATAATGCTCCTTTGTTCCGCTACATTAAATATAAATGTGTTTATAAATGCAGATTAAATACCCGGCAAGTACAAGGTTAGGAATTTTTCCTCGAAAAATCCGGAATGGACATTTTATACTTAAATCGCTGCATAATACAAAATTGGCGTCAAGTAGGTTGACTCTATGAAGAGCATTTATTTTATCAAAAAGACCTGGGATTTGTGAGAACCAGTAGTGCACTATTTGGGCTTTTCATGAAAAAAAAATCCACAGACTGCAGTAATGAGCGTGTCATTACTTTGTGTAAAACTATCAACAATGTTTGGTACATAATTATAATATCTCTTGATACGCACTTGTGTACTATGCGGGGCGCTTCAAATTCCATCCTCACCATTGGAACCCTTGGAAACTGTAACAGATACGAATACGCTTAAATAGGGGCAAAGTTTCGTATTGAAGTAATCAACAAAATGAGACTTGGAAAGTTTCGAAATTCGAAGTACTTCCGGGGGGAGACGGAAAAAAACGAATTTTCCCAAAATCGTTTTATTTTTTCCTGACTTTATTTGTAGCGAGATTTCAAAATAAATGCGCATTACCAGTAGCCACTTTTTCTCCTCTTCAAGATGACATAAATAGAATTTAAATATGACGTTTCGTCTCTTGTCCTCCAGCGTCAGCTTTATTTTTTCTTATAGACGCCCTTATTGGATTTTTTCGAAGATGAATGGAATTTATAATTTGCATTCTAAAAATATATAAAACGTCATACAATGACATTGCTAAACCTTAGTTATTCGCAAAAAAGCAGAATTTTCTAGGTAGGCCTTGAAGCATACCAGATTTATCCCAAAATCACTTTTATTTTTTCCTGACCTTTTTGAGATGAGATTTCAAAATAAATTCAATGTTGTCATCGTTACTTATTCTCCTCTCAAGATGGCTAAGTCAAATTTTCGATTCGACATTTCTTCTCTCGACTTCCATCAACAGCTTTGTTTTCATATGGACGCTATATTGGAAGTTTGTACATTTAAACGGAATGCTTAGTCCTAAATTCAGTGACGTATGTATTTCCTTAGTTGGCCATGAATTTGTTGTGGGATGAAAATTATAAAAACATAAAAAAGTATGGTGAAACCTGAACACAAAATGAAAATTTCAACGATGGTAATAACAACAATAATCATAAATAAGCAGAGGTAAATCATAGCAGATATTCAAAATCCAGTCTGATATTTTGTAGGTAACGCCTCACTCTTCTCTGTACATTGTTCACTGCTCGATATATTTCTTCTCAGTCGCTCAAACTGTGTTGCTATGTTCAATGGAAAAAATTGAAACGATTTTGGGAAAATTCGGCTTTCCCCCCCTCTCTCTGTCCCTCTCTCCTTCTCCGGAAGTACTTCGAAACTCGAAACTTTCAAAGCTACTTTTTATTGATTAACTAAATATGCAACTTTGCCACCATTCAAGAGACTTCGTATCTCTTGCAGTTTACGAGATCCGAATAGTGAGGGTTGAATTTGAAACACCCTATATATTCTATACTATATAATATTAACTTATGAAATCAAGTAACCTCATAAAATTGCACTCATAGCAGCTGTAATACCGCTGTATTCAGACTCTGCCTTTGGGATTTCTGTTGTATGAAATAATTGGCATTAACATTACCACATTGTTCAAAAGATCGTTTGTCCTAAACATCCCAGCTAACACTAACCCATCTTTGCAGGTGGTGCTATGCTTCCTAGCAGCCACATGTCTGGCCATAGACGAACATCGCCCTCAGAAGAAGGACAAACGCCAGCTGGGCTACCAGATCTCCAACCACTACACCTCTCTACCATCGTCGTACCGACTGGAACGCAGGATCTCCACAGGACCCCAGTACCACCCACATCACCATCCACCGTACTATTCCCGTCCGTATCACAAAGGTAGACCGAACTCATATCCTATTCCTCCTTATGCTGTTCAGATGGAACCTCTCGTCCACTATTCTCAGAGAGATCCCTTGTATGACACTAACATTTTGTCCCTAGATCACCCGCACAGCAACGACCTACTAACCGATGGTAACAACCATTTGGAGCAGCACTACGGTGGATATGGGCCTCCTAAGCCTCACATCATAGAACGCCCTGTATACATCAAGGAGCCTGAACCTATCATCGAGATCATCATCAAGGAGTCGAATGTCAGTCTTCCAGCACCGCCACCACCGCCTCCTCCTCCTAAGAAGAAGAAAGAGCAGGTGCAGGTGTTCTATGTGAAGTACCAGAAGAACCCCAATGGTAAAGGCAAAGATGCGATCATCTACGATAAGCCTGTTCCAGCTATCTCTCCGAAACTGCCCGAAGATGAAGAACAAGATGAGATTGAGGAGGCACCTTACAACTATCACACAGATCTAGCTACTGCAGCTCCACCTCCTAGCACTACTTTAAGAACTATCATCAAGCCTGAATCAGAAGTATACCATAGTCCGAGTGGGGTTAAAGTCACTTTTGGCAAAGAAAGCTTTGACTACGATAAGCGATCTAGCAAGCCAGAAGATTACGTTCCTACTTACCAAAAACAGCAGCAGCCTCAAGGACCTCAAGGGCGCCAGCTGACCTCATTTTCAAACACGTACTTCAAAAGGCCTTCTACTATCCAAGGCTTCCAGTCTCCTAGTTTCGGTTCGAGTTTCAGGCAGCCTCAACCGTACAGACCGATAACGTTTCCAAGTTCTTCTTCCAAGACCTTTGGAAGGCAGCAATATCAACAACCTCCATTTCAACAACCAGCACAATTTTCAAGGCCCTCTCAATCTTTTAACAGCTTTGGTTCTCAGGGATTAACATCTCCTCACTTCTCGCATTCCATTTCTCACCCTCCACCTGCACGTTTCCAAAACTCAAGACCGCCACCTCCTGCAATTCCCCCTAGGCAGCCAGTTCCTTACACACCATTTGATAAAATAAGAACCCAACAACAATTCTCTCAGCCAACTCCGCTGTCTTCGCATCAAACTCAACAGCCATTCTCTCAGCCAACTTCGCTGTCTTCGCATCAAAACTTGCCACACCAGCAACAACCCATTCAGTTCAGACCCGAGTCTCACTTCCCAAGCTACCAACAGCTTCCTTTACCTCAACAGAATTTTGCCTTTAACAAGCCACCAAGGTTCAGCCAGGTACTTCAGACAGTCAAGGAAGAGAGGATTCCTCCTCGGCCTATTGTACATCAGCAATTGCCGCTAGAACATGAGCATCAAGAGTTCCAACAGACATCACAGTATCAACAACAGCAACAAACACAACATCAACAGCCTCAGCCTCTTCAACATCATGATCAACAACCAAGCCAACCTCAGTACTCTTCACATCAACAGGGCTCTTCACAACATCTACAACACCAAGAGCCTTCTCAAAATAATCAGCAAAAGTTGCCACAACAATTCAATTATCAACAACAAGAACAGTACCAACCTCAGCAACATCAACCTCAACAAAACTTCTTACAACACAATTTTAACACTGAAAGACCTCAAATTCAACAACAACCCGTCAACAATCAGTTGTCTCAAAACGATCATCTGAATATCGTACCTCCTGGAGGACAACTGATCCATTCAATACCTAAATACGAGCAACATTTCTCAACAGTTGAACCTTCCACTTCTCAGAATACAAAATATCAACAGAAAGCTATCCAAGACTTCAATTCCCAGGAGAACCTGCAAAGTTTCACCTCAAATGAACATGTTTCTAGCCAAGAGTTGTTGGAGCAACAAAAAGCTTTCGAAAGACAGAAGGAGCTTTTAGAGCAAAGGAAACAACAGCAAACTAAATATCTAGAAGAACAAAGAAAACGTCTCCAAGAGGAACATCTGAAGCAATACTTTGAACAACAACAGCAACAGGAAAGTAGAAACCCAACACATTCAGCAAAGAATTACTTCCAGTCGACAAGAAAAGAATTTGTCAGTAGTACGCCTAGCATAAGATATCAAAGCTCTACAGGTAGTCCTTCTACTACAACTACCACCACTACAACTGAAGCTCCAAAGCCCTCAACAACTACCAAAGACCCAAAGGTCTTAGAAGCACAACTGCCTGACGAAGTTCCTGAAGACCTTAGAGCACAACTTTTGTCTTCAGGTATCCTGAACAATGCTGACATCTCTGTTTTAGACTATGATAAAGTAGGAGATATTCCCCTATCAGCTTTGCCTCCGGATCAACTGGCAAACTTCTTCAACGCTGGAGGTGCTGCTCAGATTGGAGCTGGAAGTGAACCTGTAGCAGCTCGACTTCAAACAGATGGTTCGGAGGTGAGGAAGTCCGGAGATTCACAGGCGGAAGAAGAGGAAGCTGCTTCAGAGTTGGAAGAAGTAACAGTGGATGCTCCTGCTAAGAAGGAATCGGTGGATCTGAAGGTAGTGAGGTACGATCCAGAGAGCAATGGAGGTAAAGAAGTGCAAGAATCTTACGTAGCTGACACTGCTGAGACTGTCAATCCAGTTGTGCTGAATGATAACTCCTATAGTAGGTGAGTAAGCTGTCGCTATACTGTATTTCAAGCTCTACAAGGTGGCACAAAATAAATATTTTCGTTTGAATTATCTACGAATATATGTATTGTATACTCTGTTATTCAAAATCTACTTTTTAAGATTTTAAGATTCAGTAGAAGATGCCTTGCGAATATGATATGAAGCGATACCTTGGCGAACATGTCGTTTTGGCACTTCAATTTAAGGTTTGGATGTATCTAGTACCTGGAATAGGCCATTTTCATGATACTGATTTAGGCAGCAGCGGTGGCCGCAGTGGTAGATACTTCGCCCTCCTGACCAGTCGCCGTGCGCTGCGCGGGTTCAAATCCCGTCCAAAGATGTTGTGATTGTCCGTAGGTGGTAGTCGGTCTCTGACTGTCGAACACGGAGGTACCACCCGGCGGATCTCGTAGGCGGGGCCGGGAATGTGTGCATGTTGCATGTACACGTGTTCCCTCGCCAGAGTCCGTGTGGCGTCCTTCCTTTCCCTTGTATCCCCCTATAGCCCCACGAGACCCCATGAGTGTTTAGCCCTTAGGCCTTCGTGGTAGTTGGAGTATAAAAAAACTAACAGGTGGGACTATCGAACGTTTACGTTAGAGTTTATAAGAATGTCTAGTTTCCAAAACTGCTGTAATCTGTAATCGGAGATGTGAAAAACTACCCAAATCTGTGGTTTCAACGAGATGGTACTACAACACACACTTCAAGGTGGTAAGCAATTGGTCTGTTAAGAATGGTTTGGAGGAACACTTGGCGAAGAGACAATTTACATTAGCCTCCGCATTGGTTTTAATCGCGCATCAAGGAACATTTGAAAGACAATAATAATAATGAAATCTCAGTCAAGACAACGAAATCTTGTGGGAGGTTACGCTTTCACGTTGGGGAAGAGCACAAGTATGAAAGGAAAGATCTAGCCGACATTTAAGAGATCATATTACTCATTCCTAATTTACTATTGGTACAGCATGTATACAAATAATTTGAATCATAGTGTTAATTTTGCGCCACCATGTAGTAAAGTCAAGGTTGCGTCTAATGCTCGGGTGCATAGTCATTCCTTCGATTGGGTCTTCCAGTATTATGATGACTTTTCATTTGCTATGCTAGTCTTGATACATGCAAGTGACAGGAGAGCTGTTAAGCATCTTTCTTAAGGAGAATGCAACCTTATTGATTTGAAAACTAACCATTTTTGTTCTTACTCGTATATCAACAGAATACAAAAAACCAGGCAGTTAGCTTTCCTGATGAGGGTAAGATGTACGTCGTGCAAAAAAGTAACTGACCTTGAGCATAGCCTTTAAGGTCACTCTCAAGGTAAAATTGTTGATCACTATTGGCCAGTTTGAAAAAATTCTTAACCAACAGTATGTTTTACTTCTCTAATAATATTATTTTAAGACTTATGTTGTCCTCCGATATCTATTAATAACCCCTTGTTGGGGGGGCTGTGGGGTCCACAGATGGTAAACCCATTGGGACTTTTGATCGCCATGTTGAAAACTACCTTCATGTAAAAATTTCAACAAATTTAGCCGAAAGCCATTCTCCATAAGGAAACTGCCTGGTTCTTTCGCACAAGTGCCAACTTCATAATTCAGAACCAGGGATAATTAGGTTACCTACCACGTTATCCTCAAGTGGCAGGTGTCTTCACAGTATGGAAGTTCCAATTAACGATCTTGCATTCAGTCAATTTTGGCGTTTGTTTTAAAGTCTTGTTTCCTGGGGAAATATTTTTTAATTTCACTGGAACATGTCTTCCAGATACCTTCCTTTGAAAGTAAACGGTACCCAGTTCCCAATTCCTGATGTCCCAGAGCTAAAAGGCAAGAAAATCTCCAGTGTGGTGGTACTAGCTCCAGTTGCGTACGACTTTTCGTCTACTAGAGAAGCCAGAAACACGAGGGAAGAGAGAAACATTGTGAAAGATACGCCAAATGCTCCAGGTGATATTGATCTTATCCGTGACACTACTTTGAGAAAACTCATCATGGAGCCCACGCTGGAGAACTACCGAAAATTCTTGGAGAGCCAGAATAAGACTAAGAATGAACAGCAAAGTGTGATTCTGCTTGTTGCCGAGTGAGTACATTTTATACAATAACCTTCTAGCCTTAGTACAATTGCATGGGATATCCTCAGACACAAGTTATTGTCTCCCGTCTTGCAAACACGAACATATGATATAATACAAATCAGGCATGAATCCAAAGAGCAAATACACACAAAAAGAAACGATGTATCCTCGTAGTAAAGTACCGGGTCATACGTTCATAGTTTGCCCACTTGTAGCAGTGAATGCGTAACTGTTAATTTTACCGTTCGCTCCGAGTTGTGGTCGCAAGCTTCCTCAACTTTTCCACCCTTTGCTCAATCATACAATCTTCTCTTATATGATGCAAGGGCGGATTCAGGATTTCGTCTAGGGGGGGGGGCGCAAACGATATTTGGGGCTGGTAATTTTTCTACCACAGTGGAAATTTTAGAATTTATCCTATTATTGCTCCTTAAATCCATTGTGTTATATTTATTCAATGCCAACTTGAAAAAAAATATGGAAAATGCTCAGAAATCATCAGAAAGGCAATATGGGAACAAAAGAATTACGTGGCGTTTATAATTAACTAGTGTAATAATATTAAAGATTAAAACATAAAAAACTTCATTGCTCTGTTAACCTAAAAAGACATTTTGAGCGACCCGAGACATATCCCAGCCATTCCACACAAAACAATGTCTTTGATGGCGAAATTGAACATGAGACCGAAAAATTCACATTATCGTATGGCCGCTAGATGAGACAAAGAAGGATGTCTATAGGCCATCTATAGATCGTGTCTTGAGATCGTCTCCAGACTGCCTATAGACAAATTGCGCAACGGGGTCTACTAGTGTGTACTAAGCTTAAAGATTAATACTCTGAACTACCCGTTAAACAAATCAAGTAAATGGTGCAAATCAAGCACTTCTATTATATCAGCAGGTGATAAAAATATCAATAGGTATAGTCAATTATTTTATGAAATTCAATATAGATGTTACAGTTATTCTTCAGACTTTCGTTATCGAACTTAGATTTACGGCATAGTTGTTGTTTTCTCAGTTTTCGAATCGGTGTTAATCGCATGTAAAAATGTTGGAAATCTTTGGAAAAAACTATATACAGACTTCGAAGTTGAGTCATTTATTTTAACAGTGAGTAGATCTGATCAAAAGAAATGTTTTTTTCCTTTAACATTTTTGTGGTAAAATTAAAGTAACAAAGTTATAGCCCTTTAGAAGTTTGAGTACCGCCCTGTCTCAATAATAATATTATGTGCTCGTGTTTGGCAACAACGAATATACTCCGCCTTATCGGTTCATCGCATCGGAAACAAAAAAGCGAAAGAATTTGAAACGATGTTTTTACTACAATGTATTTTATTCAGTTGTATTCAGTGAATGTGTCAGTCGGTAACGCGTGAGTGAATTGTGGTGTTTGTTGTGTGGCTCAAACGAAATAAATAATGGCACATCCCAATCGATGCAACCAACCCCTCGTGCCTTTGTTAATGTAGTACAAAGGGCTCGTGAATCAGGTGACTTAAGGCCTCACAGGGGAGAGCATGCTGGTGCTCCAATACCGCACGATCAAATACAGGTCCGCACTGAAATACTTGTCGGGAGGATACTTTATAAAACAAGGTAAAATTTTTTTTTAATTTTTTTTTATTTTCACACACAAATTTTGGTTTATCTTCCTTGTACAATCATTATCTGAAAATTAATGGCTCAACTTCAAAATCACCCTGTATACAGGATTAGTTCAAAGAGCATTTTACAGCAAAATACACTAATTTACCTTACCGATATGAATTACAAACCATTTCGAAAGATAAATGTTATTTTTATGCGAAAAACAAAGGTTACGTTTTTTTTTCAGACCAAATTCAAAAATTTCGTATTTGTGAATAATTGATATACTAAATACATACGTTACTATACACATTTTAAAACAAAGCTGATTTTTCTATCATCTTTTGTTGCGAGTTACTCACAAATACCAAATGTTTGAATTTATTTGTTTAGAAGAAAAACGTAACCCATCCTTTTTTTGCATAAAAATAACATTTATCTTCCGGAATAGTTTTCGATTCGTATCGGCAAGGTAAACTAGTGTATTTTGCTATAAAATGCCCTTTGAACTAACCCATATATATTTCTGAAAAAAACTAGTAGTGATGGCCAGAAAACAGATGTCTGGGGATAAACAATTAGAAACTCTCACAAACTACTTAACCAATCTACTCCAATTTTGTTGTGGTTATTTAGAAGTAACAATCCTACGAATTTGAAGAATTTCAATAATCTCCGAGAAACCGTCGCATTACCAACACGATAACTTTTTTGCTATTAGTCGGATCTTTTTACGTGTTTTCTCATTTTGTAGGTCTCATAAATACTTGAAAATCTTATAAGGAGAGTTTTTTCGTCCCTGCCAAGTATTTAGATTGAATCCCAAAAAACACGTTTTCTCATTCTTTATTGTCGAATAAAAAATTTCACCACAAAAATTGGTGTACCCATTTTATGCGTCAATGTTCTGAATACACCCTTGAGCAACTTGCAGCAATAAAACCAGACTTTAGAATTATTTCGCAAATCAGGGGTATTTTCGTCTAATATGATTAGACTAATAGTGCTACGCTGCAACACCAACCCCGAACAAAATCAGTCAAGCTTTACCCACTTTTCAAATTACTATTGAGCAACACACAGAACATAAATCACTTTTTAAGTGCAATCTGTATAGCTAATATATTGCTTAGACTTAGATTTGTCACAAGTCACAATATTCGTATATACGTATAAATCGTAAGAATTGTGCTGAAAACCTAAGTGATATCGAAGACTGACAGCGTTTGGGATACCAAAGGATACCAAAGGATACCAAAAATCGCAATGCTCAATTCCTATGGCTATAACTTATAGTTAGTATCCCTCTGTCGCCATGATGTGTCAGAAAGGAACACAATGGTGTTAGATTACAAAAGCAAGTGTCAGACGCCTAGGGAGGGGGGGCGCCCCCCTCTAAATTCGCCACTGATATGATGCCACATTTACCTACTTCCTTCCACAATCTGAACCGATGCAAGAAGGTCGGAAAATTACCATGACCAGTGACAAGATAGCAAGCCCTAGAGCTTAGGTATAGCCTGCCATCTCCCACCTCTTTGCATACCTCAAATACCTCGCTTCCTTTCTTGATCTTTCATTCTGTTTTTTGCTTCAATGCGATCTCTTGTTTTTCTCGTTCTAATTTTGCGTTATCGTTCGCTTTAATCATTCCTGCATCCTGCCTTTTTCTAACCCATACAGTCTTCACTTTCATATCTTGTTTCCTCAAATACCGAATCATTTCTTATACTTTCACTCTCATCTTACCTTTCATCCCACGTCAAAAAAGATCTTTTGCGTTTTTTCGACATGTTGATGGTTCTTGGAATATAAGCATGGAAAATTCGTATCAAAACAGTCGTTGTCTACGTTATCCGCATACAACATTATTCCCCGTGGTGATAATAATATTTTAAAGTGAATCTATTTTTTACTACCACCTGAAACTATGGAAAATGTAATATTTTTTTGATAATTTTTGATCTATTCGTCATTGTCTTAAAGTGGTCCGCAGGACCTTTGGTTTTGGTTAAAGTATTGTAAGCCAGAAGGTCTGTCAGGTTCTGGTTGCCCAGATACCAGACAACGCCAGGGAAAAACAGGAAAAAGGGGAAAAGAAAGAAAGGCAGGTAGGAAGCAAGGAGAGCAAAGAAGAAAGAAGTGCGACAATTTGAGGGGTGTCTTGACATCGCTAACTGGTATTCGGGAATTTTAAATTGATCCTAATTTAGAGACTGGTTGTTGAAAAAAATTATAGCTTTGGACCTAAAGTCGAAGGATTTAATTTTGTTCATAATGCAAGCCGCGGACTTGTGTGCTTGCGAACTTGCTCGACTGTGTAGTCTACTGACTCGCGCAACAAGGCGTTGCTATGCGATTTCGCTTGACTATAACGTAGCTGCGCTTGTTGTTTGATGTAGACCCTTAGATGAGGAATGTCAAGGTCTTTGTAAATGGTCCTATTGGAGACATACCATGGGACGCAAAAACCTACAGGTTACGCAAATGCGTTTTGGTGGTAAAACAACAAGTCGCACTTTCGTAGGTGAACGCTGGTCTAATAACTATCTAGTGATAGAATTTTGGTGATAAGATAAGACAACTAGCAAAACACAGACCACGACAGGCTCCGTACTATTCGAGCGGTACGCACAGACTGGCTTCGATCGACCACCGGCGTGCCGACCGTGGGCGGTCGGGGTTGTATTTACTAAATTTGTCTGTCAAAAATTAACGTCCGTAATTTCATTATTTTGATTCTAACACGGCCAACCTGAGTACAAAGTCGTTCTCGACGTTAATTGTATAACAGCCTGATTTGTAGCAACGAAGTAAAGACAAAATACTCAGAAAGAAAATATTCTTGTATTAAACAAATTCAGAAATTAGTAACATTATAACAAATAACAAACATCGCAAACAATAATAACAGACAACGTAATCATTCACTCCTTGCTTCAGTTCCATCTGCAATCTCTGGTTCTTCCTCACTGAAACAATACCACAAAGTCAAACTTGACTTTATAAACAATTACATTAAGTAAGAATGCATAACGCACCAGATAAATACATGCAGAGCGTAGCAAGATTTAAAACATAAAACAATTGCGTGCAACGCGTACCAAGCTTTAAACACCAGATAAGCACATGCAAAGCGTAGCAAGCTTTAAAACATGAAACAATTGCGTGCAAAGCGTACCAAGCTTTAAACACCAGACAAATACATGCAAAGCGTAGCAAGCTTTAAAACATGAAACAATTGCGTGCAAAGCGTACCAAGCTTTAAACACCAGATAAGCACATGCAAAGCGTAGCAAGCTTTAAAACATGAAACAATTGCGTGCAAAGCGTACCAAGCTTTAAACACCAGACAAATACATGCAAAGCGTAGCAAGCTTTAAAACATGAAACAATTGCGTGCAAAG